GTATGACAGCATAAATATACATAGCACAAATTAAATGATTTGTGAAGGACTCATTTCTGTAATTTATCAGAGTAAAATTTTCTACCAAACAACACTTTTTAAGGCCATTGACCGGTTGGATCCATTAACAATTTTTCTGCCATACCATACTGGGGAAAAAATCAACCTATTTTATGTTTTGTGAAATTATATTATTTAAAATGGAGGTATTTGAGCATCATTGTTTTGGGGGGTGGTTCTGCTGCCCCTGTGTGTTTGCAAATGGAGATAAAATTTCTAACTCACCCCACTGTTGAATATCCTTTTATCAAGAATAATCATTTCACTCTTTTGCATCCTTCCAGAACTTTCACTCCTTTGACCCCAGCATTTTTAACTGATCAGTGAAGTCAGTAGTCCTCTTTAGGCTGGCAACACAAGAGATCAGAGGCAAGAACAGGGATTGTCTTTATTGTTTTTAGCAGCTGATGTTTAATAAGTATTTATTTTATATATTATTGTTATTGACTGAGTTTATTCAAGAAATATTTACTGAGTAACTACTATGTCTAGGCCCTGTGCTGGACAATGAAGATACATGAGGAGCAATGTAGTCCCTGCCCTGTAGTGGTTGCCAGTCCAGCGGGAATACCGCTAAGTAAAGCAACAAGACAATGTCATTAACTGCTCAGAGTGATGCACAGGGATGCACAAAGAAGGAGGGCTATCTAACCCAGTTTCAGAGGGCTTCCCACGTGTTACTGAGCAGACTTCTGAATACTGATGGAAGTTACTGGAGTTGGCAGCTGGGGAGCAGAGGAAGCAAGTGCTTATTGAACTAAGAAGACCAGACAGTGTGCTATGTAGGGGCGTAAGAAGATAAAGTGGAAAAGTAGGCACGCATCAGCTCTTGAAGCATCTTACATACCGCTTTTAAGAGTTTGGATTTGGGCCTACAAGTGACAGGAAACTATTGAAAAATTCCAAGCAGAGGAGTCACAGGATCAAATGCACATTTGACAAAATCAGTCTGGCAAGGAGGCAGTGAGACTAGTAAGGGGTCGGGGCATTAATGCAGGCCAGAAGTGATGGGAGCATTGACTGGTGGAGTGGGTGGACAGGAGGGATTGGTTTCATGGAGATTTGAATTAGAACTAATTCGATGGGAAAGGGGGCCGTTGAGGGGCAGGAGTCAAGGATGGCTTCTGCATTTCTCAGCTGAGTCCTTGTGAATGAATAGGGGAACCTTCGTGGAGATGGAGGGGCAGGAGGAGGCAGAGTAGCAGTGGGGATGACAGGGTTGGTTTTGGAGATGTTGAGTTTACAACTTTGTGAACCACCTCTGAGTGGAGTCCTCTGATTAAACACTTAGGAGCACATGTTGGAATCATTCAGAATTGCAACTAAAGTTTTATTTCCATTTTTATTTATACTCATCATTATACTTTGAACAGCTTTCTATGGTCTCACTGTAATTTTTAAATTTTATTTTTGATTGCACAGATTACAGTAATGTTTATTCCTCTCAAGGAATAGCTAATTAATTGTTAAATTCTAAGAGAACCTAAGGTCAAACTATTTTTTTCAATAACTTTTTCTATGGAGGTATAATTTACACAGGAAAGTGCTCAGATCTTGAACGTA